AGCAGGCGCTGCCTTCATGTTAGAAGCAATATTTCCTTCTGTGGAAATTTTGGCAATTTTCCTTGCAGTCCCAATCCGATACTATGACAGCACTTCATAAGGCTGAGAAAGGAGGGAAAACAAGGAACTGAAGTACAAAGTAAAACTAAAGAGGACAGAACAGAGGAGAGAGAAAGACAACACAATCAATGTGGAAATAAATAATAACATAGATTTAGATAGGCAGGAAGGGAAATTATCCCATAAAACAAGAAAGGTAAAGAGGGAAAAAGTTACTTTTTTTTTCCCCACAGATAATGAGTGCTATTTCGAAAAAAATGCCACATAAGCAATCAGAAATTAAAATAGAAGTAGATAAGAGCACCTTAACTGAAAAAAAAAAAAATCAAGGCAAGAGTTTGTTGCTTTTTTAATAAAAGGTGATGAGGAGAGAGAGGGAAAGTGGTAACACTCTTAGATCTTAACACTGTGTCCCAATGGCAGTCATTTTTTTGCGAACTTTCCTAGACAGGGCTTTCAGACTCCTTCCTCCGAATATCCAGGTTTTCAGATTCAAAGCCTACATCAAACTGAGCATTCCTGCCTGATACATCCTCTTTTTTTTCTTACCCTAACCTACACTTCACTTCTGCTGAGATGCAGGAGCACTGTTAGTGCCTCTGCACATCCCCAACAACGCTTTCCTATTGGGAGAACCGTTGCGCAGCCTAAACAGCCTGCTGCCTTTCCCAGCTGAATGAAGTTTCTGTGTGTTGCCTCCTCTCAGATTTACACCCCACCTGCACCACAGGCTTGTAGACAACCCAGTTTGGGCTCAGCTTCCCTCTAGCACCAGGAATACCGAATGTATGGGGGTGCCAGTGCCAGTTCACTCAGGGCAGTGTGTTCTCAAGGCCCAGACCCACTGGGAACTTACTATGTACATCAAAAACATCACTTCAGTCTTAACCATGGCTAAATGCTGTAGATTGTATTGTGAAGGACCTGATCTGTTTACAATGAATCCATTGTAACTTCTGCTTCCATATTTCCTTTAAAGAAGTATTCCTGGATGTTACATGACAATTTTATTATGTGAAAGTAGATGCAAACTGTAGAGTGTATATATTGTGTCATTATATGGGGTCCACGGACGGTACACTGTGTTCCATGGCTTACACCAGAGCAAACTTCAGTTGTTAAATCCTGAAAGACACCTTGAAGCACAATTTCCTCACTGCTGATTTGCCATATAATTTACCACGTTCAGCCTTTCCTGTTTTCTTTACTTGCAATCTGATCATACTAAAGCCTGATTACAACAGTAATTTTGTGAGGATAAATACATTTTTTTTCACATCTCAGTTCACTTAACTATTAACTTATTTGAATGTCTGCAGTTTATCTGGACAGATCTGTAAGTTTAAACTATCGAAAATTTAAAAACTTACAATTTTTTTTAGTTTTCTTTTCCTTTTTCTTAACTCTTTATGGTGCCTTTCTTGCCTTTCACATGAAGCCTCCTGCTGACCTAAGCATAAATATGCAGTTAGGGTTCAGTTAAGGAGAAAGAGATCGGGCACATGGCAATTGTGTGTCTGTAACGAAACTCCCTTCCCCTCCCTGAGGAGATTGAAAAATCAAGGCATCATGAATTGAACACCACTTTTCCACCTTCATCTATGTGAGCAGATGATTGCACCACATTGCATCAATGGGATAACTGAGCATTGCCCCTGCCTGTACCAATTCCACACAGAAATAGGGCCTTGGGTTTTGCTGATAATTTATCTCACAGAAACTTGGTATTTTTGCCTTAAATGACATGCCTGAGTCCTTGTAATTTTAAGTTAATTTATTTAATACAATTTTGTGCACAAAAGAATAAGTTCTATAAATGATGTATGAAAATGTTAATATCTTTACAAAGTACTAATAAGTCTAGAAGATCATATCTTTTCAAATTATGGTTTAGAATCCTAATTTGTTTTCTTTTATGCTCATCATTATTATTTTTGCAGCTGCAAGTCTTATCATATAGGGTTTTTTAACATAATATTGATAGGAAATAGAAAGAGTAGTGAATATATGAAATTTTAAAGAGGAAGAATTGTTTGTTTGGATTTTTATAAGTTTTACTTATATTTCCTCATGAAGAGTTTCCTGTTTCTATGCTCTCTCTTTGAAAGACAGTGTCATGACTGACAATCATTCATTAGTTTCACAAAAGAAGGGCCTGTCTGGCTTTTCAAGTCTTGTTCTGAGCTGCTTAATAAAATCCAGCTCATGACAGCTAATAAGAATTGTTCATGAGTCGGGACAAAAGACAATTTTTTTTCTGATTTACAATCCTCTTGAGGATTGTTGGACAAGAGAATTCAAACTTAAGTAAAAGCTTCAGGAATTAAGCATTATCCAAATAACTGTTTTCTGATCAGCATGTTCTTCTACCTGAATGGAGAACTGAATAGTTTTGATGACTATTATTTGTTTAAGAATTTGTATTTGCTCCTGGCTTATATTATCTATACTTTTAATTTAAATATGAATATGATGTTTTAGCCTAGGGTTCGAGATTGCAAAGATCATACACTTTTATTCACAGTGCCCACAGTTGTTCCATGTTTTTGAGATAATCCTATTAGAGTGACTGCTCTCATTATAGTATGGTGATGAATAATTCACCTGCTTTTGTGATAAGTCAAATCATGCTGAATGGCTGATGTATAGTAGATCATCTGATGTACTGTAGTATTTCTGGATTGGGACCTGCAATCCTTACTCAAGCAAAAATTCTATGGAATTCATTCATTTTATGAAATTCAAGAATTTTTCTTGAAATGGGAACTCAGATTCAAATCCTGATTTTGTTGGGCATCTGTTTAAAGTGAAAATGGTAATATTCCAGTTATTTCCTGAGGAAACTAATACTTAGCTGAATTTACCCATGTCACATTGACTATGTAAAAAATAACGCACAAAGTACTGATGTAAAAAGGGAAGAAGTGAAGGGACAATTTTAAAAAGCACAGAGAATAATCAGAAAATTGGAGCAAGCAGGAAAATATAACAGCAAAGGAATGAAAAAAGGGTTTAAACACCTGAGGCTAAATTCATCCTTGGATGGCTTCACTGACTTCAATGCATTCACTGCCCAGCTGAGTGAAGCTCTGCCTCCGTTGGGATAACCAGGCTCAGTTCCACTGACCTTAAAGGAACTGAACCCACATATACCAGAAATGAACTTGCCTCTCTGGGCCAACTTTTATCCTGACTCATATGTCATGCAATCCTTTTGGATTCACTAGGTTTGAATGAAATACAGGTCAGAAAAGAATTTGTCCCAGATATTTCTGCTTCACATTTTTTTTCCAAGTGTGTTAATTGACTTAATTCAAATGGATTACAACATTACACGACGTCCTGTCACTGTCTAAAAAGGTTAATTAGTTTTTGAAATAAGACTTGTCCCCTGCAATGTCAGTGGAATCATGCAATATTTTCCTGTCCGTTCATCTGGATGCAAATGTGGCCATTCATTCAGTTGTGGCTACACATAGGACAATTCCAGACATACTCAATATCATCTGCTATTGGAAGAATTTTTGACTTCTTTGAAAGCCAAAAGACCGTTTTGTAGCAGGCTTAGAAAGCACGATGGCTGCTTCCACTGACACTGCAACAACATTAGCCAGTACATTACAATGTTAATTGTAAATTCTTGACAAAGTTGAATCCATATTGTTGTTAATAAAAATGATTTGAAAAGTACCATGTTTACTCATTTTATTCCTTACATAAAAGATTGTTTGGTGTGACCACATATCAAGCAAGGAAAAAAAATTAAACTTGGTCATTGTTTTCTTTTTGAAGTTTTGTAATTTTTTATTAAATGAACACCACAAAGGAAGTTCATTAGAATAAAATGCACAGGAACCAGTCTGACAGGTTCAGTTTCTGATAACTGTTTATAGCAAAGTTTACTTAATGTTGCAGCACCTCTATGAAAATGAGTGTGGAAGTTAGATAAATGGCAATTGATTCAGGATTAGCAATCAGGGGCCTGTGCAGGGAGCAGGATTCCTCATAGAAGGCACTTCAGTTTAACCTGAGGCCTAGGTGAAGCCCTTTCTTCTGCATTCAACCACGAAAGTTGCTCTAGAATGTTACTGCACCAAATCTAAAACAATCATTCACGACACACCTTCTTTCCCCAGTGTGCTCTTCCCACAGCCCTGCTGAAGACAACCTTCATTAATTGAGTATAAAATACTAAATATAGAGAGTCCGTGCTGTAGTGAAGTTACTGCCTCTATGGAAGCTTCAAAATCAGAGCCGGACATCTCCAAGTACAGGTGATCTCCTGCCTCTCTGGTGAATGGAACCTTAGATACTGAAATTTAAAGATGCAGTTGCCAGAAAGGCAGATTTCCATGTCAGCCATTTGTACCCACAGGTTATGTGAACGCTAAGCTCTCCTTAAGAATAAACACAGATCAGGAAAAAAGGCAAAGGTATGCATGTTCTTCCTGTGTTAAATGAGGCAGCCTTGCTTCATGTGTGCACAGAAGTAGCAGGGAAGGGTCAGAAGACTGCAGGGAGAAGTCTTTCCTGTTGGGTTACTCAGCACATTGCCATGCCAGGCACAGGCAGTCATGTGCATCCTTAAAGACACATAGCTAAATGTTCCTGTTCAGCTCCTAAAAACCAACCGATTAGACATTGGAATAGGCTGCCCAGGGAGGTGGTGGAGTCACCGTCCCTGCAGGTGGTTAAGGAAAGACCGGACTTAGTGTCATAGTCTAGTTAACATGGTGGTGTTCGGTCACAGGCTGGACTCAACGATCACAGACGACTTTTCCAATTTGATTGATCCCGTGATCCTGTGACTCCCCGAAAAAAACTGAGGGACGGCCATAGGCCCGCCCACCCGCGCGGAGCCAGCCAATCACAGCTTAGCGGCCCGCCCCGGCCAATCAGCGCGCCCCAGGGCTGAGGCGCGCCAAGTCCCGCCGCGTGAGCGGCGTAGGGTGGGGGGGCGGTCGCCATGTCCGACTGGGACTCGAACCCCGAGGAAGAGGGGGCTGTGCCCCGCCGGCCGCGGGCCGCCGCTGCCGCCGGCCGACAGTGCCGCTCGCCGGGCACCTCTCCGCGGGGCCGCGCCCCCGCCGAGGCCGACGGGGGACGGAGGGGCTGCGGGCGGCGGGGGAGGGGCGCGGTCGGCCCCGCAGGGGAGGAGTGGGAGCCGCGAGGTGGTGACGGTTCCGGCGGCCCGGGGCGGGCGGCGCGGCAGTGGAGGCCACGAGCTGCCGTCAGCCGGGATCGGGGCACCGAGGCGCCCCTGTGCTTCCACCTCGACAGCGCCCTGGTCGGGGCTCTCATAGGTAATGACGAGTACGCCCCTGCGCCCCGGGTGCTTGGGCCGCTGCCGTCAGGGAGCGAGGAGGAGGAGAGCACCTCTGTGTCCCGAGGGAGGGCACGCCTGCCTTCCCTAGCTCCAGTTGTGGAAGGGCCCCACCCACGGCAGGGTGCTTTTGCAGGGTTTCTCCCAGTCACCAGGGAAACTTTTCCTCCCTAGAGTAGTTGGGTTGACGTCTGTTTCTCATGACCAGCAGTCTGCAAGTGGGCTGAAGCCACTCTCTAGTTACATGGAGGAAGGGTGGCAGTCTTTTGAGTTAGTTTAACTGCTCCATCTCTTCAACTGAGGAGCCTTCTACACAAACACCTCGTGTTTGGTTACCTGACAGAAAAAGTTACCTACATATTCCATCAGTTTGGTGTCAAAAATTCTTTTCTCTGTAGATTCATGCACCTATAAAGGTCTTGGGTTTTGGTCACAACCAAAATACTTAAAATTAATGTGTAATTTTTGGCAGTTAGTCCTAAATCTTTGTAATGCCTGATGTGTATCTTTATAACAGGTAGGGGCGGAACTAAAATTAAAGAACTTGAGGATTCTTCAGGTTCCAGGATAAAGGTACCTCGTGCTATGTGTCATCAAGACCTGGGCTCTGTTGGGAACATACTTGGTTTTGTTTCCATGTAAACCAGTTATTGCAGGAAGCTGACGGGTGTTTCAGTCATAATTCCACTGTTTTACAAGAATTGGTAAAAAGGAATTGGAATTGAGAGTGCAATTTGAATGGTATGTGAAAATAGGGAAAGGTTATTAGGTTTTTTTTTCCTTAAGTATGCATTTATTTCCTTTACTTTTAGAAAAGGGAATAAGGGTGCTTTTCTTGGGAGGAGAATTTAAATTTGAGGTAAAAAAGGGTAAAATACTTGTTTCAGTATATGTTCTTATATAGTCTTTGCAGTATTAAAAAAAGTCAGTAATGTTTTGTGAACACAGGTTACAAGAGGAACCTATGGAGCCGAAGTAAAGATTTTCGGCAGTCTTGATGTGCAAAAGAAAGCCAAGATGTTGATTGACAATGCTGTTACAAGTTCTGGCCAAAACAACAGAGCTTGGACTGAGAAAGGCAAGAAATGTGGTTTTGGGAGGAAAAATACTATGGATTGTCTTTCCATATATTTTGTAGTTTGGTGGATGTTTTTGTATTATTAGTATTTTACAAAGTGAATTAACTTTTACTTTGTTCTGGGACAGAGGCATACCTCCTTAAAACAGAAATACCTAGACATCCATCTTTCTCAGCTATGGTCAGTTTTCCCCTCCTCTCACCCCAAATGCCAGGCTTCTATGAAAATCTGTTCCTGTGTGTTTTCAACAATTTTAATGGATGCAGAATGTTATACCACTTGGTTTCTTGTGTTATCAATCTGATTCCTTCAAAATACCCATATTGGTTCTAGTGTAAGCTTTAATGTAGTATCTGTGGGGTATTAAAATTCAATAAACATTTGTAATGGTAGTCTGTAAAGTGCTGATCATAGCATGGGCAGTGCTGACATCTTACTACTTTTATGGGAAGTTAATGTTTAAGATTTGATGTTGCACTTCATGCCTGACTTTACTGGGTTTTCTTGTGTTAACTTTGTCTGTTATGTGGATATATAAATAATTATTGTATGTTGAGATGCTGCTTATATTATTGGTATGTCTTGTATGTGTTCCCAACAATTTTTACACAGGCAAACACCATCCATAGTTGTTGATCTGAGGAACTGATGAGGGAGAAGTTATGCAAGGGCTGTATTCCAGCATTAGAATAAGGAATGGGATAGTTCTCTGTTTTGTTTTTAGAAGTGCCTCAGAAGGTGGATGAGTATGTTTCGAGACTAGAAATAATTAAGACTTCCTTAGTATGTGTGACTGTGTTTTCCCTGTATTTCCTGCTTTTCCACTAATTTTCCACATGGTTGTGTTGCCATTTATGTCTTCAGTGTAAAACCTTACTTTCTGACTTGCTTCATCAAAGAAGAAGTACAGAATATAACTAGACTCAGACTTTATTGTGGTGGTGTTGGATGCTTTTGAAGTAAACTTTGACTCTTGTAGCTCTTAAAGCTTTCTGTCTGCATATCATCTACTGGATTCAGAAGTTTTTCAAAAGCCTTCTGCACAACAAGGCTTATTTATAGCTGGAAGAGCAGCATTTCAAAACCTGTCATTACGTTATTTAAGTAGCTAAAGAGGTTGAAATGTTTCCCTTTTTTTATCAGAACTGAATTTGTACAGGTTTGAGCAATATTTCAGGACAGAGACCTAGGAAAGAATTTTGTAGTTATATATTTCATGCCTATTCAAAATATATGAGGACTTACTACAGAAAAAGAAAATAAGGGGAGAGATTTCTCTCACACACTGCAACAGATTCCATCAAACAGCATCATTTTGGTACTAACTTTGCAGGAAAAATCTTAGACATTTTCAAGCCTGAAAATAACCCAAAGAAATCGGTGATTAACTGGGACTCTCTTCGAGAAAACAGAGCCAAATATGAAGCTATGAAGTGGGCAGGTTAGTTATAAGTTTTGATTGTGTGATACTTGTCTTTATGTGATAAATCTGTTGAATGCTTACGTGTTTTTAATTCTTGCTTTGGGATAACTGAATCTTTCACTGTCCAAACTAGTTAAGCATTTGCAGTGAAGTGATCATTTTAGCACTTCTCAGTGTGGTCATGGAGAACACTGTAACTGTCGTGGAAGACTTAAACCTGCTACTCAATTGGCATTTTGACTTCACCCCTTGAAAATAATGTTATTTGATATGTGGCCACAGAAAAAAAAATCTGAGAATTGTTAAATATTAGACTATACGTGTTACTAGAAACTATTTTAGAACTTGAAATGTGCGGAGATGGCTCTTTTGCAGATACTGAAGTGTTTGTCTCAACCTTCGTCTTTTATATGAGCAACAATAGTCTTTATCACTTAACTAATCTCCTAGCTTAAGGCACTGTCAGGGTTTGGGGATTTCCATCTTAAGCTTTAGCACTGAATCTGTATTACTTCTTGCTGATTCAAGTTCATTTTTCTGGTTGTTGAAGACTTGCCTCCAATTGAGAAAAACTTCTATAAAGAATCACCAAGGACTGCATCTATGTCACAAGAAGAAGTGAAACTGTGGCGGTAAGATAATTTCTTTAGGGAATCATCTGCTTGGCAAAAATTGCTTTTAAGGTATAAAGCGTAGAAAGCAGGAGATGAAATGCTGAGACAGAAGCATTAATGTTGGGATCTTCTTAAGAAGTCTTTCTTGGAATGAAACAATAACTAGCAGATGAGTTACTATTAGTTGCTTGGAAAATTAGGTATTATCTGCTTCTCTAAAAGTGTTTGATCTAGTTAAATTTCAGAACAGAAAAATCTCAAGACATTTCACTTGGCTTTTGACTGTTTCTTTGCCTCTCACGGAGACAACATGTTCATATTTTCTAGGTCCTTCCAAATAGGATTATTCCCATGTTTATTACCTCTTGGCTGCCATTTTTACCAGATGTATTTTAGTCAAATACCATCTTCAAAACAAAATTTCAACTTCTATTACTGTTGTCTTCCTTTCTTTCTATCTTGTCTTTACAAGTACATCCTGGTTAGTACACGTTTCAGTTAACTGTATCCATTCACTTTGATCCAACAGTCTCCATCAGTACTTTGCAAGGAAAACAGATCATCTGTTTCAAGTGATTCAGTTCAGGCCTTGGTAATAGTTTCAACCCTTTTCCGTAGTTCTAATGAAGTTGGTGAACATTATTGAAGTGTTAACTTTTTACTACTTTCCTTTTTGCAAGGTGTCTTTTTTTTTTTTTCTTGCATGCCAGACAAACTGCCACAGGGAGCAAAGCATGGAACTGATACTTAAAGTTATGTATATGTTATTGTTAGAGCTAGTCAGAATTAAAGAACATTGTTCCATAGGTTCAGAACATATATAGAGGAATGGCACTTGTGTGCTAAAGGAATATTTTTTTCTGTTTCATCCAATCTGTTTGCTTTAAGGGAAAAAAGACAGTAATTGAAAAAAACTAATTCTATAATCATGAGGGGAAGTTGAATTGCCCATTTTTTTCCTAGGTTATACCCCACTTGAAGAAAAAACTTTTTACTGAATGGAATCTGCAGAAGAGTACAGGACTGAAATTAATATGTTTATGCATATTAATATCTCTTAATTGGGGGGAGCCTTGGAAGATCAGTTTTAAATGCAGTTTTTTATTTGTGTTGTGCTTTGGGTTTTGTTTTGTTTGGGATTTTTTTTTTTTGAGCTTATCTTGCTGATCACTTTTTTCCTAAATTGTTCTGTGTGTATTCTGCAGAGTATCCAGGGAGCTGCTCTGCAAATATTTGGGGAAGGTTTTTGTCGGAATATAGGGTTCTGACTAAGAAGGCCAATCCATTCCTCTGAGTTCTAGGTTGTCTTTAGGTTTAGAAGCTCATCACAGTTACTTAATTTGTAATAGAGTATACTTGTAGTCTGATATGGCAGGACTACAGTTCATATTAATAGCCATATGTAACTTCAAATTAGTCATTCTTAAGAAAGAGTGGTAATTGATGCCTGCAGGAGAAGTGTTTGTGTTGTAAGACTTTCTTAAGAATTAGAAGAATAATTCACCCATTCAAGAGCCTGACATTGTTTTTTGTTGTTCCAGGAATTTAAAAAAAGTTAAGAAGGGTAATCTTTTGTGTTAGCTCTACTTTTTCAGATTATGAGACTTTAAAGAAATTGCACTGCTTTAATTCTATACAGAAAAGAAAATAATAATATAACTTGTGATGACTTAAAAGAAGGTGAAAAGCGCTGCATTCCCAATCCTGTTTGTAAATTTGAAGATGCATTTGAGCATTATCCTGATATTATGACTAATATAAGAAAAGTTGGTTTTCAAAAGCCTACACCAATTCAGGTATGTCTTCAATTTTGATGACCTTTCAACTGAAGCTTAAGAGAAAAGTAAAAAGTACATGTGAGTATTTTTTTTATTTTATGTTAGTCACAGGCATGGCCGATCATACTGCAGGGAATTGATCTTATTGGTATAGCACAGACTGGTACTGGGAAGACATTAGCATACCTAATGCCTGGATTCGTTCACTTGACTTCACAACCAATGTAAGGACTGCTCAAATGTCTCACTTGTTTAGCTGTGTATACTTCTCCCCACCCCCACCCCCATGCGATGATTTTCTAGTAAAGAAATAAAAATCATAAATTGGAAAAAATATAAACCTGGTGGAATAAGTCCCAAATTTATCACCAGAGATTCTGCTAGCAGCAGTGTGCCGAGGAAGTTTTGGACAGTATATAAATGTTTGATGTCAGGTGTGATGGACTTTGCCTATCCTTATATATCCACATTCTATATGTGCTTTGTTTGTAGATGCAAAGATCAGCGTGAGGGGCCGGGAATGTTGGTCCTTGCTCCCACTCGAGAATTGGCACTTCAAGTGGAGGCAGAGTGTTCGAAGTATGCATACAAAGGAATTAAAAGGTAAACTTGTTTCTCACTTGCTTGTTAAGTGGTTTTTTTGTAAGGTTTTTTTTTTTTTTTGTCCTACCACTTGTAACTTCATTCACTTAGTAAAATAATTGCGTTGTAGACAGCGGTAAGATCTCCCTGATCCTTCTCCTCTTCAGGATGAACAAGCGTGGTTACCAGTTTCTCATGTCATGCATTCCTTGTCATGTCATGTCATGTACATCTTCTTGACCATCTTGGTAGCTGCCTGCTGGACTCGTTCCAGAATGAATATGCTTGTCTTGTAATAGAGGCAGGGGGTACTAAAACTGGATATTGTGCTTGAAGTGTGATGTCACAAGTACTGGTTAAAGGGGAATAATGAGTTCTAGCCATGAGTTCTGCTGGCTACCTTTTCCATAGTATACAGCTGGCTTTCTTTTCTGTGGGGTTACACTGCTGAATAATGTTTAGTTTCTTGCCCACCCAGGTCTTCTCTGCAAAGCCATCTTCTAGCATGGTGGCCCTCAGTCATGGGGTAATTCCATCCTTGTTTTTGTTTAACCTTTGTGGGATTTCCATCAGTCCATTTCTCTAGCCTTTTTGTGTTTCTTCTGAGTAACAATCTAACTCTCTAGTGTATCTAGTTAACTTTGTATAGCATTCGGAATAAGTCTTATCTTCACTTAACAGCAAAACATCTGACTTTTGATTGTACTGTTTAGAAAATCCTTTCATACACCTTCATCTGTTTTTTGTGTAAGTATTTTCAGAACAACTGTTACACTCCAGATTTTAAACCATAAGCTGCCCAGCACAGTTACATTTTGTTTGAGACTTTTTAAAAGCCTTTTGGTTTGTTTTAACCTCGAATTCGCATCCGGAGAAAGAGTCACATGGTGTTCTCTAAGAGAAATTCTTCTAATTTAGTGAGAAAAATATGGTATTTTGGCAAAAGTTTTTCTGGGGAGTAAAATACAACTATTTTGCTGAAACACCCACCACAAAAACTCAGTTCACAGAAAACACCCACTGCAAACAATCAGTATACCACTGTGTTTTAGTAAAACACAATTCATTGGTTTTAAGTTACTCACAAGAGAAGGAAAAGAGTAAAAGAAGAAAACAGATTAAAAGGGTAAAGAAAGAGAGAAGGAGAGAGGAAAGGAAAAATGATTACTGACAAGATTCAATGATTCACATGGTGCAGGCTGCAGGAGTAAAGAGAGAGAGAGAGCACACATGGACTCTTATAGAGTTCAGTTTTCCCTCCCAGGCAGGATATCCAGTCAGTGCCCTCAGGCCAGAGTGAGCTGTGCTGTAGCTGGTCACAGGCTGCAGGGGTTTGCTGTGAGAGGGCTACCAGGCAGGTCTGCCTTGACTGACAGCCCAGCTACAAAGCCTTCAGCTCTGCCAGGTGCTCTCAGGGACCCAGCCCTCTTAGCTGCAGGCTATGTGCTCTCAGCAGGCCTTAAGAGATAAGGCAGACCTGCAGGTCTAGGCCCAGCCCTTCCCCACACACACTCACAGTGAGTTGGTTCCAACCCATATCAATAATTCAGTGAGATTCGGATCCAGTATCTCACAACAACCCAAAACATACTCAAGCTTAATAGCTATCTTCATTCCTTTAATGATTGTTTACACTACAGTTTCAGCAGAAGAGTATTGGTGAACTGTTGAGGGAGTGTCATTCAGTGCTAATTTCATTAATTATTGTGACTGTCAGTCACACTTACTGTATTCCTTCCTCTTGTTAGAACCAGGTAGTACTTTTTAAAATGAAGCAATATGTTAGCATTTATATGAAAAGTATTGATTTTAGTTGAGACTTAATAAATTACTTCTAAAACATTTTATTTTACAGTATTTGCATATATGGCGGTGGGGACCGAAAGGGACAGATAGACGTGGTTACCAAAGGTGTGGATATTGTTATTGCTACTCCAGGCAGACTGAATGATCTTCAAATGAACAACTTCATAAATTTGAAGACCATAACATACTTGGCAAGTAGCTGATATGGAATGAGTAATGCACCAGTTGGAAAATGGTCGACTCAGTTTGAACTTAAGCTTTAACAGAGTTATCTTTAAAGTTCTAAAGTCTTAATTAGAACTTAACATTGACATTGGTGTCAGAGGAATGATTCAGACTTAACCATAATTGCATTGCAGATGTTCTGCAATATTCTCTAGAAAAAACAAAATAGCCTTCTAGTACAGTATGCATTTTAAAGATGCTAAATTGTTATTTCGGTAATGTTTGGTGTTCTAAAGTTTGTTTTGTCAGGACTGGTTACTAATGGATGAAATGCCTTTCCGAAGTTGTCTTTTTCTTTTCTTTTTAAAGGTTAATCGTGACTCAAGTTCTTATTAGAACTTGTGCAGTAAACAACAGAATCACACACAGATCTTTAAATGTCAGGGAACTGGCTTTCTTTTGATCTCAGTGGAAAAAATAGCTGTGTAAACATGTATGAATCCGTATGTCTTCATTTCATTCTTACCTTTTGCTGTGCTGGACACATAAAACCATTTCTATTTCTAAAATACTTCAATTTATTCAAATTATTTCTAACTTCTCCGTTTTTAACTGGTGAGTTGTTGCCTCTTTTGACAATTTGGCCCTGCTTTCTGTCCACTCCCCTCTGAGAGTTAAATACTACTATGCTATAGCAAGTTATCTCCAATTCTAGGTAATAGTTGTGAGCTTACTGGCAAGGCCAGCAGTGGTATAGCATTATTAGAAATTTGACCATCTGGAAAAAAATATTATTGTTGGAAGACAAGACAGTAGCCTCTTGTGGAAGAGTGACATGTAAATGCTCAGCAGGAGGAAAGTAGGCCTGAAAACCTGAGAACCATAGGATCATTAATAATCTTTTTGCCAAGGTGAAGTATGATCATACTACAAGCACACACTGCTTTGTAAAGCAGTGTGTAATGAACTAAAATGAGATGATTCAGTATGTGCAGGATATGCTATAGTATGATATAGCTAAAAAGAATTAACTATCAAATTGAAAAATACGATGATGTAAAGCAGAAGGAAAGACATTTATTGTTGTACCACGAGCAGTTAAATGTTTTCAGAAGATTGAAACCAGTACAAGGATCTTGTTATATCATATGGTTAATGTCTCATGCCTCAGAGTTTTTGGAAATGCTGTACTTCTTTAGGTATCATGTGAAAAGTTTGACATCCAAAATTCTATCTTTTTTAATGTTACCATGTTTTTCCTTGTAGCTTCTTGTACTGTTTAATATATAAGATAATTTCTGTTTGCAGAGCTTCATTGTCAGTTTTCAGCCAACATATAATTTAATCTTGCAGCCTTATTTCAGAGAAAACAAAGGGGCATTAGATTTCAACTTTAACAGCTTGGATGAAGAACATTCTTCATTGAAGAGCTTCGTTTACAGTTTTCATTTAAAGATGAGGCTTGTGAAGTCTCCCAAAGTGCACTGAGTATTACTTGCTAGTATGATACAGTTGCTTCCCAAAGGACTTCCAAGACCAAATACTGGGATACATTTACTTGTTAAAGAAAAAGCAACCAAACAAAAGAAGCCCCACCAAAAAAAAACCCCTCAGAAAAACAAAAACCCAAACTGTTAATTATGTCTAAATAGATACTGTATACAAGCTGAATTGCAGGTAGGAAGTTCTCTTCTTGCCTGACAGAACCATCAGGTTGATTGCAGTCTTGGTTCAGATTTTTAGGAAGCCATTTATTCAAAATAGAATTTCCCAGTCTTACTTCTGAAATCATGAAAAACAGCAGCCTTTTGATTGTTTACGATACATGTCATTTGAAGATTGCTTTGTGTTTTGCTGTGTTCAGTGTGTATCAATATTCATTCATCAGTAGTCTGAGTGCTTATTTCTTAGGAACTTAGTCTCATAAAGCAGAAGTAAAGAAATTGGACTTGTGCTTGAATAATTAGGAAGCATTTAGGAGAAAGAGTATAATAAAAATATATATAATTCATGAAGTAGGATATAGAAGGTAGATTGGAGTAGTCCTTTTATTCTTCAAATACAAAAAAAAATAATGTAAAACTTACCAATAACTTAATTGAAAACAGAGGAAAGAAAATAATTTTCACATGAAGAACTGGCTTGTAAGAATTTCTTGCCAAGAAATAGAACTGAACAATATTAACAAACAAGTAAATAGCGTAGATAATAAGAAACCTAAGATTGTGTTATTTGGGGGACATCCAGCTTGTAAAACAGAAGCTGGCTGTGAGACATTTGAAAAAATTAGTGCTACTACCTACTTATCTATTACAGCCTTTCATCTTTATTAGACAGCTATCTGAAATAAGGAAAGTAAGCTTCAGCTGCTCTGATCCATCTAATAGACATACTTAGGTGCTTTCTTTTCCCTTTCCAGCGAAGTACCAGTGTGCTTAATAGCACAGAAGGCTTCTGCTGCTGAAAAGGGCATGGTAGCCAACTCTGTATATAAAATTAGTAATGTTTCAACCTTGCCATTGTATTAGAGCCCATGTGGTTAATGAAATCTCTATGAACCCTCTGAAAGTAAAGAGAATTAAATAAAGAAATAGAATTCTTCTGTCTCTCGGTCGATGATTTGTTATTATTTCAGAGATTTATATAAATAATGTACTAAAAACCTTTTATGTAAAAAATATCAGAAAATAATGGAATAGCAAAATTGGGAGAGTAGAAAGGGATTATCATCAAAGTCTTCTATTTCCACATAAGTGACTAAAAAATGTCAATACTTAAAAGCACAATTCATATAACTTTAATTTTCAACTAGAGTTTGTGTAAATCAAAGGAGATAAATGAGTCTTAGATGCCAGTCTTCTTCCTTTGTATGAAACTGAAATAATTCACAAGGATGCTTGTATATTAGAAAAAAAATTAGTTCCAAAGAGTTGTATTCAGTCCTCCAGCTCACTTGTACTTTTCTGGTTTTTTTTTACCAGATGAAACAAGCTTGAGCTCTGGGAGTTCTGCAGAGTGTTGTCCTAGTGTGAGCCAGAACGTATGCTCTGGCTTTTTTTCTACTTCTAACGAGGAACTAAATTGATAACATATTTTGATCCTGTATCAGATCTCTGATGAGATAGAAATGAGATTTCCCCTTTAAATTACCAAAAATTTCTTATCGAAAGTGTATAGTGAGGGTTGTCTCCCTCTGGGTTTAGTTAGTTATGCTTTTTTTGTTGGGTTTTTTTGATTCTGTGCTTAGTTTTAGACATCCAGCAAATTACTGTTAAAAGAAATGATTGTTTTATCTTCATTGAGTTTGTGCTTTTAAAGATGCTCTGGATTTCCTTTTTCATTTGTATTACTCAAAGAAAAAGTGTCAAAGAAATTGAAGAGGTAAAACAGAAGTTGGACAGGTTTTGCCGTAAGTTATGGAGTGGATTCTGCAATTAAAACTGTTACCATTAAAATCATCTACTGTGTAATGTCTTGCTGAAAACCTTTTCTAAGGAACCAGGCAGAATAAATCACCTTGTTTCTGAGCAGGTTTTAGATGAGGCTGACAGAATGTTGGACATGGGATTTGAACCTCAGATAATGAAGATCCTAATAGATGTGCGGCCTGACAGACAAACTGTTATGACGAGGTATCTAAACAGAATAGTGCTCAGTACTTGAACACTGCAAACATAAGGCTATTGAACAAGTTAATTTCAAAACAAAGGTGTCAGTTCATTAAAACTTTTAGTAGTTTACTTTCTAATTCTGTCTAGTCATCCTAATGAGTCATTTCACTATTTTTTTTTCCATTTTATACTGCCTTTTCTGATGTTTTACATCAGAAATCAATCTTCAACTGTAAGGAAGGTATCCTGGGAGTGTACAATTTGCCATATCAGTTTGAAGTGCCAACTTCCACTTCTCCATCTGGGACCAAATGTGTTTCCTGACCTTCTGAGCAGTGTCTGTGCTAATCTGTACTTGGATTAATTTTGAAGTTATGCAGGTTTTGGGAACTTAACAATAGAATATCCCAACAAAAATTTTTGTTACTGTATTTTGCATTGGAGCTATGGTTTTAAAGAGAAAACTGACTAGAAACTTGTTTATTAGGTGTTGTTGAACTACTAAACTCACCTTAGGCTTCATTAGAATGGCTCCATTAGAAAGGCTCCATAACTGTTGTGTGTACCTTTAACCAAGAAAGTTGTCTTTCAAGCTTGAGTGCTGTTTACTCTTAGTTTAAGATTGGTTCTAAATATTATGTAAGCTCACCATTGTAATTGCATGCCTAAGTGTTTCACTGATGTATAAGAAAGAAAAGAAAGAAATGGGTGAAACTAATGAATTGGAGAAGATTTTGCACACTATTCTGAGTCTGTTTTCCTCTTCACTTCCTGTTTAGTGCTACTTGGCCTGATGGTGTTCGTCGCCTAGCAAAATCCTACTTGAAAGATCCAATGATTGTATATGTTGGCACTCTTGACTTAGCAGTAAGTTGTCCTGCTGGGTTTTTTTCCTTGCTTTTGTAAACCTACAGTTAAACTAGGAAAATTTTTGCTTGTAACTATATGTAAGTAAATGCATGTAACTTTTAAAATCATGCATTTTAAAGTTTCTTTAAAAGTTTAGAAACAACTAAAAATTTAAGAAGTATAAAAGAGCTTTGTTCTTTATGTTTCTGTAACATCATCTTGAAGTCTTACCTCTTCAGTAGAAGACATGAAAGCAACAAGTATCAATCACATTGAATGTTTGTTGTACTTTGCTTTACCAACTGTTTTTGCATGAACCCTTATTTTTGCAGCCTTCACTTCTGTTCATCAAGTTCTTGTACCTTATTTAGTTTTCTTTCTGAAGGCCTTCCTTCTACTGCATACAGATCCTTATCTGAACCTGTATTTCCTAACTGTTTCTTTCCCAAAGGGAGTGGGAGCTCTCTGCTAAACTCCTGGAGGGCACTTGTCTGGAGCGGGAAGTATGTGTTAGAGTAAGAACTGTCTTTAAAGTCCAGAACTTCTAAAATGTGGGTGTAGTTGCATACTTGTCATTGTTGTGCAGCTACGTGTAGTTAGCCTCAATACCAGCAGAATTTACCGAAACAGTAGTTCTCCCAAGATCTTAGGAAATTCTCCTTTTCAGTTCCACTTTTTTTAGTGATGGCAAATGAGGGAACTTAGTATCCAGTACACGTTTAGGTAGAAATGGAGGGGAAAATGTGCTTTTTCATCAGAACTACACTTTTATCAAAGGGCATATCTTTGTCAAAGACAGAAATTTTAAAGACATCAACTGCTGTTGTAGCTCTCTTATCTAATTCATTCATCTCCTTTTACGGGGGCTTCTCTTAATTGAAGACATCATATCTGGGGGGAAGAGTTCCAATGTGGAAAGAGAATCTTGACGTACTTGACTGATGCTTCAACTCTTGCCACAAGAACATGATACTATGCTGTGAGAATGTCTACACCTTTATACTACTCGTGGTATAGCTTAGACATTCTGTGGTAACCTTCAGGTAGAATGGAGTAAAGATTTTATTAATGAACTATTGTTGGAATAATTAGAACTAATAATTTCAGATAGATTTACAGAATCTTCTTCAAAAGGCTTGTAGTTTCAAGTAAGACTGACGCTGTTCCAACTTGCTTTGGAAAAACATAAAATATACTCAAATTAAAGAACTTCAGTCTGATTTTCACTACTACTAGAATTATTTATTTCACTTCACTAATCCGTACCCTTTAAATCTCTTCAGACACATGATTTGGCAAACTACTTAAAGATAAATTTTAATATTTTCCTAAAGCAACCAGGAGACCAGAAATCTCCATTGTTTGAACTCCAAACTGATACATACTTTGTGTTTAAAATAGTTTTTCATGGTATCTTATTATTAGTTTTGTAATATGGGAATTAACAGAAAAAATATTGTTCTAATCTGTTTCTACTTAACATACCTTTTTACTGTTTGACAGGCAGTAAATACAGTAGAACAAAGAGTTGTCATTATCGCCGAGGAGGAAAAGAGAGCTTTCATGCATGGCTTCATTGAGTCTATGAAGCCAAAAGATAAGGTCATCATTTTTGTGGGAAAAAAGCTTACGTATGTAATCACTTCCCAGTATCACATCTGTTCTTTTTTTTTATTTTTCCCTAACAAAAATACTTAGGAGTTTCTTAGTTCACATAATAATTACCAAGTGTAGGAGCTCTTGTCCACAATGTGCTGGTAGTAGTACTATTTTTATTTATTTATTCCTTCATACTGACTGTATATTTTTTAGCATCATTAGTGGTGGTGGCAAGTCTCAGTTTCATATAGTTAAAGTTATATGTTAAGATTCTTGGGGATACATGGATGCAATGTCCTGTTTACTTTCATACGCAGCTGATGCATACAAGGCCTGATTGGTGGGGGGTGGTAATTGTACCATACCTGAACTTTTTGAGTGAACAATGCAAAAATAATCTAATATTTCTTTTATATATAAATAAGGGTAAACATTTCTGTGGGGAATAGTCTTGCTTTCATACTGTTTTATAATAAATGTCAGCTGACCTAGGTTTGGTTTTGTCCTTAGGCACACGGTTAGCTTTTATTGTCACATTATCTTTTTGATCTAAGTCTAGATACTGCACTGTTTTCTTTTTTCTTTTTTTTTAAGAACCATTGCTTTATTTCATCCTAGAGCTGATGACTTAGCAAGCGACTTTGGTATCCAAGGAATTCCGGTACAGTCACTTCACGGTAACAGGGAACAGTGTGATCGAGAACAGGCTTTAGATGACTTCAAGAAAGGTGAGTTTGTACTGAAGTACTGGTTTGTTTAGGCAGGCTTTTGAAGGTTGTTGTGTTCAGATGCTTGTCTGTTTGTAAGTGCTGTGTCTCTTTAGTACGAAAGAAATTAAAATTTAACTGTTAAAGAACTCTGAATTATGTGTATTAATATGACAAACAAAAAAGCAGAAAACAAAAGAGATTGCTCTTCAATGAAATTTGGAATGTCTAAGAGTTTAATAATTTATAATTAAGGTTTGTTTTGTTACTAACATCTCTGGAAAAGTCAGTATTATGTTAGTCTACCGAATGGTAAAAATTTAAGTGTCAGATGAGGGTGCTTTCAGTGAAACAGTTCTGCTCCAGATTATGTCAGTAGGGTTATACTTTGCAGTTATGTGAACACTTGCTAATAAAAGACTAGTTCTGTGACAAGAATGTTAGTTGAGAATATAGTGGTTGAAGTTTCTGTTCTTTTCACAGGCTCTTTTATATCATATAAGGAGGCATGCTTCTTACTTCTGCACCCTGCTGTTCTACTTGTGAAATGCAAATAATAGTAAAATGACATTCTGAGTGCTTACTTACCACCTTGAGAGCTAGCTCAGTGTGACGTGCAATGAACATATTTTTCCTTTATGTGTTAAGAATAATAAGCACATTAAAAGCAATAGGCTGGATTATGTTTTCTGTTTATTCCATAAATTCCCATTCTTTGTCTGTTGTGCTTATTTTAGGCAGAGTTAAAATATTGGTAGCTACTGACTTAGCATCCCGTGGCCTTGATGTGCATGATATTACTCATGTTTTTAACTTCGATTTCCCTCGCAACATTGAAGAATATGTTCACAGAGTAGGTCGTACTGGAAGAGCAGGGTAAGTGTTTACCAGAAAATAGTAATGTATTATCAATGTTTTGTTATGTTTTATGCACTGCATTCTTGTCAAATTCTAGAGCTACAAGTGATGTGGGGTGGGGAAGTTAGACCTTCAGTCTATCAAAGGATGGTTTAGAAACATACTACCTTCTTTTTAAATTGTTTACCTTTAATTTAACTGAACTAAGTTTTGCAGTTTTCTCTTATTGAATGATGTTTGAAAGCTGATTTAAATGTGAGGAAGAATTACAATTCAAAACAACATCTGCATAGATATTCTGAAATGTTGCTTCTTTGTTTATCTCTTCATGAGCCGCTAAGTTGTTTAATTTTCTAGACAGCATATTAGGGGAAAAACATCTATAAATTCAAAGTCTTCAGTCTATCATGGTGGTGTAGTTTGGTTTTAGCACTTCTGGATGCTGCATTTCTAGGTTGGTACAAGTGTGATTTTTCTCATGTATGTGTTTATTTTAATCATGATACGAATGTCTGTCTCTTCATACTTAAATACATTGTCTTTCTGCTGGGTTCATTATCTAAAAGTCTGAATTAGTTGTGCCTTTGCTCCATTTCAGGAGAATTGCTGTATTCTGATCTTCCTGAAAAGTTGCTCTCTGTCATGGGCATAGTAAATATTCAAGCCACTTTTATCTACCAGCTCAGTAATATTGCCTGTAGTACAGTTTATTAGTGCATAGGTCAGTAGAAAAACCTGACAACAGTTGAAGATCAACAGTTACTTCATTCCTTGTCTAGACGCACTGGGGAGGCAGTAACGCTGGTCACGAAGAATGATTGGAAGTTTGCTTCTGAGCTGATTGAAATTCTGGAAAGAACAAACCAAGTAAGAATATATTACCGACTAAGATTCATAGTGGTTCTAGATTAACACTTGAAGCAGGTCATGAAACCTTTCTTGGTGAATGTTTCTAGTGTCTCGGGGAAAAAAATGGGTATTGAAGTCTCTCTTGTCCTGGATAGGCTTAGAAGTATTTTACCTTACAGATGATTCCCAGAAAAGAACTGTTAACTTTAAGCAAAGCCTTTTATGTCCAAAGAAAAAGTAACTAACATAGGCACACATTGAGGTCTGCAGAAGAATAGTAGGGTCTGTTTTATTCCATTTGTATTTCACTTCTGGATGCATGCGCCAATGTTCTTGTTTAACAGTGTAAATATTAACAATATTTATATCAGAAGAAGCTCAACTATCTATATGTTTATTATATCCGACAGTTCTAGTACCTGCGTGTACTTTTCCAAGCTGTCTTTCTTACCGATGCTTGTAAATAGTATGGGAAATAGGACTGGAATGTGATTTCTTTCTTTAAGGAAATGTATTTTTTTCTTGACACCATATCTGAGAAACCAGAGACAATTGTGCTGCTGTTTCTTGCTGTAACAAGAAACAGTATTTTGCCTGATTTATAGTAAATCCCCAGTTCCTGCCCTGTCTTTAGTTGAAATTTTGTTTGGTTGTTTTTTTTTGTTTGGATGGATGGGAGCATTAGTACAAACTAAATGGCTTTTACCTGGAACTTGCGGTTGTTACTGTGGACATTCTTACTGAAACTTTAAAGCCTGGGTTAGAGCTTCACCTGAATCTTCTGTCTTACAACTCTTCTTTGAAAGATGTTATGTCACTTTATTTCAAACCTAGTAGGATGCTTTTGAGGGAGGAAAAGGAAAAAAAAATAACAGTTGTCACTTAATAATTTCTGAAGTTGCAGATTTGAGGTTTATGGTTGAGGTGGGGTTTTTTTTGGGTTTTGTTTTAATTTTATTCAGAAAATGTAAGAGGTGAAACCAGCAATGATGCTTTGAGAAGCTACTTAAATGGAAATTAGAGGTGCCTTGGTTTCTATTCTGCGTCAACCACTACCTTCCAAGCCTTGACTCCAGCTGCAGACTGTGAAGTTCCCAAACTGGTTTGTGGGGGGGTTTTTTTGATGTGGGATAATTCAGCTGGGAACAGTCTCTGAGTTCAGAGGAGAAAAGAGGATCTCTGAATCCTTGCTTTCAAGGGTTACTTTTAGTCGCAGCATTATTCTCCAACTTACTTTCATCTGCTAGGGAAGTATCCATACTGACGAGATGGTGGTTTGTTTTTTGGTTTTTTTTCTCGTGACAATGAAAATACCATTATTTCAGTCTTAAAGCATCATGTAAAAGGGAAGAAGAGCAACTGAAAACATGGTCTGAAGGTTCAGAATCCTTCAATTTCAAAAGAGGTAAACTGCATTTGTTAGCCATATGTTCTCCATGATTTTGAATATACAGAATATATAAAGAAAAACAGGTACAAGAAAAAGGTATCTCTATCATGCTGTAAGGATCTTTTATATATAAAAGCTTATTAGGAAGCATAGACAGATTTATTAGGGAAACAGGTGGAAAAATAGTAATCTCTGTAATACCAAGCAAAGTGTTTCGTATAAATTATGGAATCTTTATGCTTTTCTGTTTTTTCACTTGAACTACCCTGTCTGACTTATATGTTTAGCAGATACACAGATTGTCCATGTAAAAATTCCAACAAACCACTAGATGCTGGATATTACCTCACTGAGATTTTTATGTTCCCATATCCTTGCTTCTTCCCACCCTTGCCTGCTCGAAAACCACTCTTGGAAGAAATTGTTGCAATTTTAGTTGGAATACATTACACTTCAAACTGTAGGAGAGGATCTGATACTGTGGAAGAAAATCATTCAGTGTTTCAACTGAAAACTAACTTTGTCTCATTACTTCTATCTCCAATGATATAAGTCTGTAGTGACTTTCAGCTGGAGGTACATCATTTTTCACTTTTATTTTTACATAATGTTCTAAAACTTAGGCAGAACAGACTGTTCCAGAGGCATCATGTTCTGTAGACTCCTGACAGCCAGGGCAGCTGTCTACCAGTGAGAGCAATTCACCACATAAAATATATACTAGCGAGCTGCCCCTCATGCCAGCTGAAGAAAAAGTTGCTGATAGCAAATGGCAAGCATTGCTGAATTATAAGGCCTGACGAAAGAAGTGGGAACTAGAGGAATATACCTTCCTGCTCCACCAGACCCTTTGTCCTGGCTGCATTTTCGTCCTGTCCAAGCTTTACAAGGTCTAGGCATTTTTAGGAAGACGTAAAAAGTATTGACATTTGTTTGCACTATACTGTTTGCACTGTATTTGTGCCACTGGCAGAGGGACAGATCACACAGACTGAGCACTCACACTAATGCCATGTTCACATGCTGCTCTTTGCTCTAATCAGGACACTGATTCTGGGCTGGGCGAGTTCCACCTGCTGCATGGCTACATGCCGTCACAGATTGTTGAAGCAGACTGGCTTTGATAGGTTCATGATCCAAGCCCTCTCTTGACATTACAATCACCCATAATGCTTCTTGCAGTACACATTGCATTAATGTCAGCATTGTGCCTGACCTGGTTTTAGGAGGCTTGTTGGACACTGCCTTTGTTCCAATGAGCAAAAGAATGGTCTATGGGTTTTTTCATTCAGTGGTCGCTGTCGCTCAGCCTGATAAGTCTGTTTGTAATCTTTCACAGCAGGCTTTAGTCCTTACGGACGTGAGTAACTCTGAGGTGACAGTTTGTTGATGATACTATTCACCTTCTTTTCCATATAATTACAAACACACCAAAAAGCACTGTGGATCTTACTAAGGTGCTCTTGCGACCTCCCAGTGATGGGAGAACAGACCGCTTTCTCCTTCTTTTCTTGTCTTTTAGGTTTGTTATACACACATGAGAACTGTTCCTATGGCAACACTTTGAAGTCCCAAAGTTTCTCTTTAGAGCCTCTTAAAACTTCCATAAAGAATTTAAAATATCAACATTCAAATAGATGTATACAGTATGGTATCACCTTTTAGTGGCACTGAATGTTTTTACCAGCTGTTTGTTATCACTGAAAGATAAACTTCTCCCTGAAATGCAGTGTTGTAATTAGCTGGTTATATGTTGTCATCAGATATGCTCATACAAGCAGAGATATATAATTGAAAATCCAGAGACACTATGATTTTTTTGTATATTTCACTACAATTTTATGTAAAAAGATTTCTCTATGCATCTCTACAGAAAAGAATCTGCAAAGTGACAGAAGCCAGATAAGTGATCAATAGTATTTTTATAAAGCAGAGTCTAAAATTTTAGCTTTATTTAAAACTGACCTTGTTTTTCTGCCGCTTTCTTATCAGGTAGTTCCTGACGAGCTTATTGCAATGGCAGAAAGGTACAAACAATTTCAAACCAGAAAAGAAAAAGATACACAAAGACCTTGGAGAAAGCTCTCAAAATAACTGTAATCCCTTGAAGCTACTGAAACAAAGTGATTATAGTTAATGTTAGCATCTATAGGCTTGAATTTATAAGTTTCATTTCTCATTTGGTTGTTTTCTGTACCTGTCCAATTTAAATAAACCATTTAATTTGGTTTCGAGGAGGCTTTAGTTAAATGCACTATCGATATATAAGAATGTAAAAGATAATTTTTCCTTTTATTTTCAGAGAACTGAATTAGTCATTGTAAGCCATGTTTGTCAGTGTAGCTTCAAAATACTATACCTTTGCCTTGATATCTGCATCTGCCACTGGCACAAAGAAGTATTTCTGAGGATAACTTAGTTATTTGAAAACTGCTCTCTTTGTAGTAACTTATGTTCGCTGAAGCAAGTTTTCTTTAAAACTTAAGATTAAAAGTCATTTTTGTTAAGACTTTCAAGGTGTTTTTAGAGGTCAGCATTTTCTTCTGATGGAGGAGAGCATGACAAGAAGTCCATGTTTGTGGTTAACTGGGAGGCAAACAGCTTCTACTCTTATTTCCATGGATGTAATATTCTAACTGAAAGAAAACCAGAGTTTAGTAGAGCAATGTTAACAAAGTCATGGAGCAACAAATACACTTGAAGGTCAGCTTTTATTTCCTTCAGATAAAGTTGATTCAAATTTTACATTTACAGTTTCTGTCACACAGATTCCTACAGATAATGGGGCATATTTTCTCTCTTTGGAATTTATATGGGAAGAAGTTATTCCTTCATTTGACGCTTGGTCTGAACTTGTGTTTACGTGTCATATGAGTAAACTAATAAACTGAATTTAGTGAAATGAAAATATTTTAATAAAATCATTCTATAAATGTTCTTTTGGTCTTGCCTCTTTATTTGCTCAAAATTGAGGTGAAATCTGGGCATTATTTAAGCCACTAGGTTATTTTGCCTTCAAAAAGTAGGCTAAAAATACAGACTTGCCATGGCTTCTCTAAGGAGACGCAAAGTATGTATTCACTTGCAGCTCAGCAGGTCCCAAATGCTGTGTATATCTCACCTGCATAATTTTAGTAGTAGGAAATATAATTTTTTTCTCTAACAGGTATTTCTTCAACATGAGAAAAACAGAGCTGAATTCCAGTTTCAAGACTGTCAGATTCATGCTGCATTTTGGTTTTGATAACCTTTCATATCAAGAGTCTTGCTCTTTGATAGGGGTTGAAAGATGCATTTCTTTCTACAAGATTCATGATACAAATACTCATTGGCCCAGTAACTTTTACTCAGTTGTACCATATTAGGTAGTGATTGCTTCCTACCCAAAGTCCAATGAAAAGACCCAATTCCAAAGCAATTCTGAAGACTCAGAAAGGAAAGTTGCTTCAGGAACTTCATATTATTTTGATACAAAATTCTCTCTCTATTTACTGTTGCTGGTGATTATCCTCTGCAACAGGTCTTCATCCACTCAGGAGTGGCGGTCTGAAAAATAAAAGCTAGACACGATCCCAGTTTGGGGGAACTGGAATCATTTATTGAACACGAGAACACTATTTTAAAGGCATCTGGGGCCAGACATGTTAATGAAGAGGATGAGCTATGTTAATTAGGGAATTACACAAGTTTTTACTACCGTTGCCCAATGGGTTAAATATTTCCCTCAATCAAAATTACATAGGGGGAAAAAGATTAAAGGGGTTTAGACATGGTCTGATACAATCATCTCAAGAGTCCTTCCTGATTTCTGCTGAAGCCAGGCTTAATCCATAAGGTAGAACTTTAACAGGTCTTAGGACAAGGGTCCAAACTTCTTGAATCAGGAGATGTTTGTCAGCTGAGCTTTCTTTTGCTGAAAGCTGGGTTTGGGCTCCCGTGGGAGCCTTGTCCTTCAGACTACTGAAGAGTAACTTATGGTACAGAACTTTTTGTTTTAAATATGCAAATCTACACTATTAGATAGCTAATGTAAACAGTGATTTTAATAGCTCTCCTGAAATATTGGGAATCTGTTGTTCAGTTGATGGCTTATCTGTCTTGCAAGGAAATGATTGCTTGCTTTGTCTTCCAGACTGAGCAAGTTGTATTGGGGAATAAAAAAGTGAGGCAGCTGAGACTTTTGCAGGCACTCCACAAAATATCCCAGACATTTCTGAAAGCAGTGATCCAGATCTCCCAAAATCCAGTCTGTGTCATTTGGCCACATGACACAAGAGTGGAAAAAAGCAGTTTTGACATGATATGAGCAGAATTTTTCCAGCTCTTTTGGATATTTCATTTTAAGTTGCTCTAGAAGATACTTCAGCAGCTTAAGACAACCTTTCCTGTTAAATAAATAAGAATTTATTAGGTACCTTCTACATAGTTCTAAATATGTATTTTACATATTTAAACATAAAGAATTATGCGTTAGTTGTGACATTCTTGATTCAGTACAAGATGTAATTGGCAAACAACTTCGTGGTTTACTTATTAAGGAGGTTTTGTACCTCATGTGGGTTTTGTTCTTCCTCTGAAGAAATCTGGAGAACAGTTTTTATAAAGTGAAAACTCATTTATTCATCCTGATCTGACTCAGCAGTTCTTTTCTCACCATCATTTTAGAAATTGCCTTGATATGAAGTGTAATGTTGCTCAGAAAGCTGAGTCATCACTCTTTTATGCTGTTTTTTATAAACAGGACTGAACTAGGGAAAGATTATTTAACAAGTCGTATCTTTTGCATTCTAAGGCAAGTTCAGAGTGTAAACCAGCAACTGTGATTGTTTCCACCTTTCATTAAGTAAATGCAAGTCAGACATTCAAATGAGTACATGCAGTGTCGTACTGCTATAGAACTATTATACCTAAAAGCCTTATTCTTGCTTCCTATTGTGAGTAATTACTCTTAGATAAATTTCTTAAATGCTAAACTGAAACAGCTAGTGCTAAACAGCACTAGCCTGGCTCACTCAGGCTTAAAGTAAAATATTCATATGAAATACCAACCTACAGCACTTTGTTCCATCAGATTCACAACACGTCTTTGAGTGGCCATGGTTCGTCATCATCTTCTTCTCAATATGTGAGAAGGAGAGTCGCCATGTGTTTCCTAAAGTTGAACACAAGACTGTTAAATTGTTACACAGCACTAAGTATCGGCATCTGTATCTAGAAAAAAAAGAGACACTTTGCATTTGCCTTAATTTTAAATATTGGCAATTTTTTTACCCCTGTAAAAAAAAATTATAATTTGGTGTCTGTAGTTAGTTAGTTCTTCCTTAATTCCCCAGCAGCTGTACACAAAGGCAATTAGAATGTAATTAATATAGAACATAGTTAATTGTGTGGATGCTTTAAATTCATAACAATATTTGGATTTACTTCAAAATTAAGCTTAATTCTGATTTTTCCTGAATTTGTTGAACATGATTTGCAGAATTGCACTACTCATAGAAATCTATGACCTTTGAATTTCTGTATGCTTACTGTGTTTTCTGGTTTTTCTTTGTGCAGCAGGCTTGTGAGTTTATCTCGAGTATGGTGGCTGTTCTAAAGCACTTATTTTTCTTCTTCTGGTCATGCTTCTGAAAATAATTGCTAACAGAGCTCAACACCCTGTTTTTAACACCAGCAATCATTTTTGTCTTCCTTTACATGCGTTATACTGTTTGCCTTGCCTGTTTGGCTCAGTTACTCTGCATTTAATTTGCCCAGAAAGAGATAGCCCAGTACAGCAGTTAACGATTTATTTAGCATTGATAACATAGGCATGCTAATTAAAAAAATACCAGATTGTCTGAAGTGTTTTTGCTAAAATCATCAGTTCTCATAATGCAATGACAAGTCAAGATGTTTCTGCAAACTAATGTAGGCTTGGTCTGGAGGAAACAAAAATAAAACGTTGTAGCCATACCAGAGTTCAATGAGAAATAATGTATCTTGATAGAAAAGTACACAGTTTGCTTCCTGCAGAAGTATCTGATTTCTGGGTGCAGTCCCACGTGCAGGGATGTTCCCTGCCTTTTTGGAAGCCTTTTAATTTATTTTTTTTCTTTACAAAACAAAGGAGTGTATAGTGCTGTTAAGTACAGCACGAGCATAGGGAAGGTTCATATCCATGTGTCTGACTGGAGTAGATTTAATATAATGTTCTTATGAATGGATAGTGTACAGCCTGCCAGAGCAGTTTTGTATTTAGATTTCCGTACAAGACAAGCAGTATCACAAATCTGATGTTTTAAAGAGGGATTTCAGTTGTCTTTGACCTGGATATATCCAGGATGAGATAAAGATCTGTACCTCAGAGGCACAGATCTGGATACCCTTTCTACAGCACTTGTAAGTGATCAGGTTGTAGAGAAGATATTTCATGACTTATTATTGTCCATATTTGAGGTACCTCTTAGAACCTTTTCTCTTTTGTTTTGCTTGGCTACTAAATAAACTGATGTCGATTTGAACTCTCTCCTGACTTTTGTTCCCAGCCACTGTTCAATTTTGAGGCCGTCCTGTGTGCTGGGCAGCCAGCTGTGCTTGACTTTCAGAGTCAAGATGATGTCCACTGATATTTCTGATGGAGGATTTTTGATCTGAAGAGTTATTGCAGGGCTTCCAGCCTTTTTCCTTGTCACAGTTACTTCCACATCTAATAACAAAGAAGAGTGATTTTTCATGTTAGATATATGTATATATATATACGCACACATATATAAGGAACCTTTTCTGAAGAATGTTAAGGTTTTTACAAATGAGGAATTCATAATCAATCAAAAGACATACCTGGGTTCAGTCACTGGCTCTTTATCCTACAGGATATGGATGTTAAATAAAACATTACGAAGGCCTGTTGATAAGTTCTATGAAATAAAGAACACTAGTTTTGAACTGCTGTGTTTGTTTGATTTACTGTGTAAGAATCAGAAATACAGTAATGTTTTTCAGTGACCTGCTTCACTGTTGAAAATACACACTGAAAAGATTTGACCACAATGTTTCTGAAGGCTTTGGAGGAAAATAACCCTATAAGGGGATACATTTTCTGTATCAATTGATATAAAATATTAGGCAATATGTAAAAGAAAGCTCTTTGTTGTGTACAAAGAGCCATTTGATGAATAGGTGCAAAATACACAGATCATGTAGGAAGTACCAAGCATACAATAGTACCCTTAATAATTGTTATTTTCATACGGAAAGAGGATTGCATAGTGGACTTAATCATGTAATATGATTAGCTCTGATGTATTTGTGATTCTTAACACAAGACCAAACTTGAGATACTGGGGACAGGAGGAATTACAGCTCCATTGCCACAAAATACAGTTGACGGGGAGGAAAACCCATTTTATTAACAAGAGGGCAATGCATATGCACACTGTAACTGGTTTTTTAGTACTCCTAGGTGAAGCTTGTTATCTCAGTACTTACTTTTAAAGTTTTTTACTTCTTGTTTAATAATTTCTCTAAGTGCTTGAAGCATTTTAAAGGCTGATAATTTTCCATCTTCATCTAAAAACTTCAACAAATACTTTTCTTTTGGATTTCTTTTAAATGTTAGGTAATAATAGGCTCCTGTGTCATCAGACTCATCCAGCTGAAGCCTTTCAACAGGTATTACCAGCATGATGTCAAACTCATTTGGTTGAGATATCTGCAAAATAGGAGAATACAACAACAAATGTGCAGCTTGAGTTTTATTCTCTTTAGATTTTTGTATCGATTGTGGTTTTATCTACAACTGTCTTGATGTACTTCTCATGTCTGGTGTGAAATATGAGCTTATTTCTGTGGATTTGTATTGCAAGATTACTGTGCATTTGGGTAGAGAAAAGCAATTTACTGATAACAGTGCACTTCCAAGCTTTCCAACTTATTAATTTTTAAAAAAGCTTTAAGATTCTCGAGCTGTTCTGAGTAATGCATAAATGCTGAACTCAGTCATCCTTTTGCACATAGGAATCATCTGTGAGAAAAAAATGCACTGCTATGTCTGAAGATGTTTTTATACCCCCCCCCCCAAAAAAAAAAAAAAAATAAGGGTCCACATATTTGACTTTGTTCCAGGGTGTGCTGGAACCAGGAAGAAAAGGTACTTCTTAATCAGAGAATGTTAAGGGGTTAGAATGGACCTGACAGATCATTTAGTCCAAACTCCTCTGCCGTGGGCAGTGACACCTTGATGTCTTATGATCAACCTCCCACTAGATCAGGTTGCTCAAGGCCTTATCCAGCCTGGATTTGAACACTATCAGGGTTGGGGCATCCACAGCCTCCCTGGGCAGGCAACCTGTTCCAGTGTTCAACCACCCCTACAGTACAAATTTCTGCTTAAATTAGCCTAAATTTCCCATCTTTCAGTTTGGATCCATTACTCCTGCTTTTTGAAAAAAGTATAAACTAAAAACTGGCACGGGGCCTTTCGTGTAGTGCTATACTGACGGGTCCTGCGGTTACAGCGGGCTCACCTGCGTGCTGTGCAAGAGCGGGGCTTGCCGTGAGTCCCGTTCAGGGAGCGTCTCTAACTGAATGCGCATACGTACACACCTTTCAGTAGGTTATTTATCACTTTATAAAGCATTGTGGTTAATTAACGCAGCCACTCTACAGTTTTGGGTCGGGAAGGGCCGGCTCAGAGCAGCAGGAGCAGCGCGCCGCCGGCCCGTGGGAGCCGCCCGCCACCTGCGGCCGGAGCACGGCCCCCGCACCCGGGCGGGACGGAGGGAGAGGCGCTGCTGGCGCCTCCGAACCCACCTTGACGCGCTCGTAGTAGCTCCCGGTGCTGTACTGCTCTATGGAGCTGAAGGCGCCGTCCCTGCTCTGGATGGTCTGGACCAGGTGCGGAACCACCATATTCACCAGCGCCGACGCCTCGGAGACGTCCCTGCGGCCCAGGCTAAGCCGCGACAGCACCTCGTGGAGCCGCAGGGTGTCTGGCGGGGATCGGGGAGCGGCCACGGGGGCAGCAGCCGCTCCGTCGGGCACCACCGCAACCTTCCGCGGAGCCGCGGGTACTCTGGTAGCCCGCGCCCTGCTCCGCGGGGCGGGGGGCGCCTCTACGCCGCCCGCCGGCAGGGCCGAGGCAGCGTGGGCTCGCCGCCCCGGGCGCCCGCCCCGGGCGGGGGGTCCGTCCGTCCGCGGCGCCCGGCGGGTCGTGGCACCGCTCGGGCTTTCGCCCGCGACGCGGCCCCGCGAGGGGCTGCGGGCTGCGCTCCTCGGGGCGCCCCGGCCCCGCGGAGCCGCGGTTCGCGACCCCCGCCTGCCCCGCGCCCGTGTGCCGCCCGCGCCGTCCATGGCCACCGCTTCTTCTCCGCACCCGGAGGACGGCGAGCACGGCCTCGCGGGCGGGGGAGTTCCCGCCTCTGGCCTCGGGCGAGTTCCTCTTCCAGGCAACGCGCCTCGGTCAGGAAACGAAACTCGCCAGGCGCGGGTTCAGTCCGGGCACGGCAAAGCTCTGACAACAAAAACCAGACCGCGCCGGGACATCCCGCGGAGACAACCACCTCCCTCTCTCCAATCCGTGGAGAGCGTTTTCCCGCTCCCGAAGGCCCCCTCCCTGCCTCCCTCCTCCCCGCGGGCGGGGCACAGGCGGCCACCGAGGGGCGCACGGACGCGCCGCTCCCGCCCACGGAGCGCCCTGCTCCGCCTCCCGCCCCGTATGAGCGGCGGAGGAGCCACGGTGACTGCCCGCCCGCCGCACGCAACGCCGGGAGGGCCGGCCCTGCCGCCATGTTCGTGCGGAGGGGTTGCCTCAGGCTGGCACTGTCGCCGGTGCCTCGCCCAGGGCAACGCCGGGCCGGCAGCGAGGTCGGGGCGGCGGCGCCGCGCTACGACGTGTTGGTGGTCGGCGGGGGCCATGCGGGGACGGAGGCGGCGGCGGCAGCTGCCCGCGGCGGGGCCCGCACGCTGCTGCTCACGCACAGGATCGGCACCATCGGTACCTCCGCGCGTACCCGGGCTGGGGCGGGGGAAAGAACCGCGGGCGCGCCGGGTCTCCCCGGCGTGAGAGCTTTTGGGCGGCGGCGGCGAGGGTGTCCCTGTGTCCCTTCCCCAGGGGAGATGTCCTGCAACCCGTCCTTCGGCGGCATCGGGAAGGGGCACCTCATGCGGGAGGTGGACGCTCTGGACGGGCTGTGCGGCCGCGTGTGCGACCGCTCCGGCGTCCACTACAAGGTGCTGAACCGCTGCAAGGGCCCGGCCGTGTGGGGCCTCCGCGCACAGATCGACCGCGGCCTCTACAAGGAGAACATGCAGGTGAGAGCGGGGCCGGGAGGATTTTTTCGTGTTAGGTGTTAGTATAAACTGCTGAAGATAATGAGGGAGGGACGCATGTTTTGTTTTTCATTATTTACCTAGCTAGGTACGTTGCTGTTTGGTACTTTAATGCACTGTAGGTTGTTGGAACTCAGCATACTTTAAAAAATTCTCCAGCATTTTAGATACAGGTCAGGCTTCATGACTGAATAGTTTCTTTTGAGCTTAAACTACTATCTGAATGAAAATTTCTACTTGATCGATCAGAATAGTACCATAACTGAGTATCTTCCCAGTTATGTGGTAAGAATGGAAGAGGGTGATAGATGTTCTGGAAATCAGCAGGATTTGGGATTGCCCATATGTTTCATAACTTCTTAGATTTTTGCAGTAACTCCTTTCATGACAGAAAGAAATCCTTAACACACCACTGTTGACAGTTCGTGAGGCATCTGTGGAAGATCTTATCTTGACAGAGCCAGAATCAGGCCATCCTGGGAAATGCCAAGTCGCAGGAGTCATTCTGGGTATGTGTTAGTAAATCAGTAAGTGCCTCCAGTTACTCCATGCTAAGAGCAGCCTTTGGGATCAACTTTTCTGATTTGTCAGTGAGAAAGATGAATTAACGAAGACATCTAGTTTAGGCAGAGTGTGAACTAAACTAGGTTAGTGTGTGTAATTACAAAGTAGTACAATGACAAAAATACCTGGACTGATAGGATATTGGGAGGTTACTTAAGTTAATTTTCTTCAGGCTAGTGATATTGAATCTCATCCTGCATTTTGAGATTTTATTTCGTAAATGGCATATGCTGTCGACAATGTTATGGGACCGTGGGGTTCTATTACTAACAGACTTGTACTTTATTACCCCTTGCTGTTCTAATAAACAAGCTTTCTGAAGTAAAGGCCTGGATATGATTTTTTTTCCCAGGAGCAGGTTTTCTGCCTTACAGGTAACTTTTTTAGGAATAATAAAAATACAGGTATAAATACATGCTGCTTATTGCAGTTATTACTATTAGTGCTTTCATTATTGAAATGCTGCTTTTGTTGTGTAACAGAAGATGGATAAACCCTCAGTGAACACTGTTAGTCTAGTTTTAGACAGAAGCACCAGAATACAAGGGCTTTGTTGATACTTAAATATGTACATTTCTGAAAACTTGCTGTTTTAGGGGATGGGAGCACAGTACATGCTGGGAGCGTTGTCCTGACCACCGGTACCTTTCTGAGGGGTATGATCCACATTGGGCTAGAGATGCACCCGGCTGGGCGGCTGGGGGACCAGCCAGCCATTGGTCTAGCTCAGACTCTGGAGAAACTGGGATTTGCTGTGGGCAGGCTGAAGACCGGGACACCACCAAGACTTGCCAAAGACACAATTGACTTCAGTGGTCTGGAGGAACATGGAGCTGACAATCCTCCAGTGCCATTCAGCTTCCTCAGTGAGGCTGTGTGGATCAAGGTGGGATAGCACACATCAAATGCACATAGAGCCAGCTGAGGAGTGGTTCTGGGAATGTTGTGCTCATAATCTGCCGGGGAGTTGGTGGCTGGGAAAGGGAGCTGGGATGTATTTGTACTGGAGGTGTTATGTTTCTGAGGACTCTCAATGCAAAGGGCTCTTTTATTGTTTGTGTTCTTTTGAAAGCAAGTACCTTCTTACTTTATCTTCTCAACTTGAGAACCAAACTTCTTTTACTTCTAGAGTCAGAGTTGTGTGAAATGGGATACTGATACTAGTATTCTTCATGTGCTGGTTACAAAATACATCTGTTATTATAGCTGTATTCTGGAGATTTATAATGTCTTGCTTTTTACCTTAGCTTTAAAATAAGGTTAAAATGTTGAAATTAGAGATCATTAGTAGTATTGACTAAGAAAGAGAAAGGTTGTAGTTATCCGCAGAACTCAGAAGTGGCATATTAACAGTAACTTAAGAGCACAAAAAGCTCAATTTTCCAAAGAAATTTTCCTTTCAAAGAACATTCTTACATAATGAAGTTGAATAGCACAGAGTTAAGTATCAGGAGTTAATTTTCCCCAGAGCATATAGGAATTGCAATAACCTATTAGAATCAGGATGAGGGTGAAAGTAATATTACTTGAAGTCCTTGGTATGTGTAGGAAAGGTTTTAAGAAGTTAAGGTGCAACATTATTACTATTTTGAATGTGAGTCTATTGAATTTTTCAGAAAAATCAGTCAAATACTTTACGTGGTAGGTTTTTTCCCTAAAATTTGAATTTAATTGCAGAGTTTTGAGATTTTTATCTTTTTTACTTCACTGAGACATTTCTTTTTTTTTTCTTCACCAAAATCTTTTATTCCCTGTTAGCTGTAGGGTCAGCACTTATTCTTCTTGCTCCAGAGCTTTAAATTCCTGTAGTCAGTTTGAATGCTGTGATATAACGTGTTGCTTTAATGGGGAGTATCCATTCTGTAATTAGTGTATGGAATACACTAATTAGTGTATGGAATCCTGTACAGCGTATGGAATAAAACTTGAATTCTACACTTCCAAGTTCTATTCTGTTCTCAGTCTGCTTTTGGGCATATTGCTCATGCTCTCTGATTGCTCATGTTCTATCTGTATGACAGCGCTACTTAACTCTCCAAGAAGTGAGAGCCAGCTGTCATGGAAAAGGTATTGGACATCCTCAGAATTGTTCAATAAGAGTACAGTGTTGTGACTGGATTAACTTAAAGTGAGCTTTGACCTCTTTCAGCCAGAAAGTCAGCTGCCATGTTACCTGACACGCACTACCCTGAAAGCCCAGCAAATTATCTATGATAACCTTCACCTGAACAACCATGTAAGGGAGACAACAAGGGGCCCTCGGTAAGTGTGTGGCATCACGCCAGGCTCTTAAGGGGACAAGTGTCAATCTGTTTGAAACTGAGGGGGTATCCTGCTTCGCTTCTGCAAAGTTACTTTTTCTCCATATCACATGGTGCTCATGGCCATTTACTGTTGCAGGTACTGTCCCTCTCTTGAATCAAAGGTTCTGCGCTTCCCAAACCGGCAACATCAAGTTTGGCTGGAGCCTGAAGGCTTGGAATCCAATGTCATTTACCCCCAAGGCATGTCCATGACACTGCCACCTGAGCTTCAGGAGCAGGTGATCAAATCCGTCCCAGGCTTGGAAAAAGCCAAGATGATACAGCCAGGTGAGGGTGATGAATAGTTTTAAATCTATTTGTTACATTGTTTACCAGTTAATGAAAAACAGATTTTGTTTAGAGCATAGCAAAACAAAGCAAATGAGAAACAAAGCTAATTCCTAGTTGCAGGGATTTTTCCTTGGTTGTTTTGAAATCATAAATAAAAGTTGAAAAGCTAAGTCATCCTGCCCCAGTGGTTGCCTTTGCTGACCTTCAAAATGCCTCCTGTAACATCTGTCTTGTTGTGTGTCATAGGCTACGGGGTGCAATATGATTTTTTAGATCCCCGTCAACTGACTGCTTCCCTCGAGTCGCGTCTTGTTCAGCGCCTCTTCCTTGCAGGCCAGATAAATGGCACGACAGGCTATGAAGAAGCTGCAGCTCAGGTGCGTGAATCTGACCCCATGTACTCAGCACTCAGAAAAGGGATATTGCCTTGGCGTTTGTCTGTGATACAGAGTCTTGTGAGGCCCATTTTTTGCTCCTCAGATGTTCTTACTTTTATTGCTCACCTCAATTCCAGACTTGTCCAAGATATTTTTACTTTTATTGTCTGCAGTGCTATCACTAAGACTGCAGTAACAAAAGCAATTGGAGGCACTGTCAAGTGTTTCAGCACGGAGACTGTGCAGTGGGTATAATTGAAAACATGGGAATTGTCTCTAGACACATCAGCAGTGGCCAAGAATCCCTTCAGGCACTCGTAGTGTCACAAGAAAGACACTGCCTGGATTACTAGCACAGACTATTGCATTTTTCTGGGTACTGTTTGACGTGTGAGTCTTTGGAGGCAGATGTGCTGATATTTTAGCTAAGAAGAGACCGATAAATGTGTTTGGGTTTTGTTTTCTGTCTGCCTAGGGTGTGATTGCT